TTCCAGTGGAGAAAACTGACAGACCCTCCCTCAGACAGGTGATCAAGGTCAACACCAACAACAATGAGTCATGTTGATAAAAAACAGTACTTTACCTCTGTGGTCTTCCTCCCAACAACCTGCAACTCCATGAGGAAAACATCAGACAAATTCAAATTAAAGAACATTCTACAAAATAGCTGACCAGCATTCCTCAAAACTTTAAAGGCATTAAAAACAAGGAAAGTATGAGCAACTGTCACAGCCAACAGAATCCTAAGGAGACATGATGTGGTCTCCTGGGTGGGATCCCGAAACAAACAAACAAAAAAAGAACACTAGGTAAAAACTGGGCAAATCTTAATTAATTAGGGTCATTAATAAGAATTTATCAATATTGGTTAATTAGTTTTATCAAACGTGCCATACTAATGTAAGATGTTAAACAGTGGGAAACTGGGTACAGACTACATAGGAGCTCTGTATCATCTTTGCAATAATTATTTCAATCAAAACTATACCAAAATCAGAAGTTTATTTTAAAAAATTACTGTGGAAGTGACATAAAAATATATCAATGAACTAGATTAGACCCAAGTATAATAGAAATATACTGTATTATAAAGGATATGTTTAAAATCAGTAAAGACAAATTTGATCTTACAATAAATCATGTTGAAAAGATTAAACTCTTACGCTATCCTAGCATTGTATGCTTTCAGAATGATGAGGTGATACATATTATTTTTTAACAGTGGAAGTGGCAATGCTAAAATCATGCCACTGTGCCACGACTTGATAGGGAATTTTAGATACTTGCCTAGTATTATCATGAACAGTGGAGAACCAGATTTACGGTTGTGATGTGAGGGGTCCATTTTTCAGTATAGGCGATTCAGCAGAAGGCTGAGTCTACCACATACTTTTTTAGTAAACTGAGCACCCCCTTCAGGGTCATTCTGTAATATGTTCTATTGCTAACTTTGAAATAATTACACAGGCCCTGCTTGCTTTTCTCTGAAATGCCGCCAGTGAACTCATCACACATTTGTATGGCAAATGCAAAGGTTACACAGATGGCTTACTTCTTGACACTGATTTCACATTGGAAAAGCTTACCACTGATTGCCTAAACCTACAATTCTGCCTGCCTGCCGGCCCTACAGAGAGTAATCGGTAGACGTTTCTTACCAGTGTATGAATCATGTAAAACCTACCCCTGAATATGCTGCTTTGATCACAACTTGATAACCATCACAGCTGTCGCTACCACGTTAGTCTCTCCCATAAAGTTCTAAACACCCTCAAATATATACATCTGTGGAGAACTTTACTCAGTTCTTGTTGGGTCAAAAAGTT